GGTCTGCGCGCAGAACACCTGCCGCCCCCCACGATGCCCTGCGTTTGTCCGAGCGGAACCATCTGAGACAAGGGCGACATGGAGCTTCGCTGCTCAAACCACCAGCAGACATGAGACGACAGATGAACCTCAGCTGGAGATTAATGTGGAGATCTGAGGGAAGCTTAGACACACAGACAGGCCACACGTAGATGAACAGATATGATTGGAACAGCTTTGCATACGGTTACTGTGTATGCTGTACATTGCTGTATGCATGCATACTCAATTCTCGTTTTTGTCAATTCTAATTCTTGACATGATCTGAAACCTACCATCATAGAGGCCAACTTACTTATAATTTCCTTTGAAGCAGAGGAGGGTCCAAAGACGACGCACTCAGTCTTATTAGTATTAAGATGAAGAAAATTGCTTGCCAACCAGGCTCTAATCTCACCTAAACACTGAACAAGTCCTTCAAAGGATTGAGAGCAATTTGGATCTATTGGAATATATAACTGGGTGTCATCTGCATATAGATTATACATAATATTATATTTACGAAAAATTTAGCCCAAGGGGCCCATATATAATGAAAATAAAATAGGCCCAAGTATAGACCCCTGTGGCACACCACTATGTAATTTAGCTGATGTAGAACACAATTCTCCAAGGCAAACTGAAAATGATCTGTCCTTTAAATATTATTTAAACCAATGTAAGGCAGTACCCTTAATGCTAACATCTTCCAAACGCTGCAATAAATATACCATAATCAACAGTATCAAATGCAGCTGCGAGATCAAGTAAAATAAGGATAACTACGTTTCCAGAATCAACTGCCAACCCTCCTGACAACTGACCAACTGACAACCCTCTCTAAAATTTTCGCTATAAAAAAGGTAGATTTAATATAGGTCGGTAATTACTTAAGACTATAATCTAAATATATAGTAATATAATAATGCTATGTAGACTATATATAATACTATTATATATATATATATATATATATATATATATATAACTTTGTAGAATATGATTGTGGTGGTATAGTGTGTTAGAATTATTTCATATTAGAATAGAGCATATTAGAATGATTTCTGAAGGATCATGTGGCACTGAAGACTGAAGTAATGATGCTGAAAACTCAGCGTTAATAACAGCAATCAATTACAGTTTAACAGATATTCACATAGAAAGCAGTTATTTTGAATAGTAGTAATATTTTACAATATTAATGTTTTTACTATATTTTTGGTCAAATAAATGCAGCCTTGGTGAGCAAAAGAGACTTACTTTAAAAACACTGGAAAATCTTCATTTGTGTGGGTTTGTCTCAATCAAGGCTCAGCAGACGAGATGAGATGTGGCATGAACATGACAGAAATTATTGTACACTCAGAAATCTGACACTGACTGATGAGATCTCGGGTTATTTTGTGTTAGTTTAATTCCAGTCTCCATCTTGTCAGAGTGAATTAATTAGGAAGATTCTTGTATATGTCATGTTATTTTGCATAACGAGCACATTCTGGTTGTTCTGGTTGTCTGTGTGCACTGAATCATTGCAGTAAAAACAGCTGATTTTAGTGTTGCAGTGAAAACAGTCAGGATGCATCTGTCAGAGACGTCCTGACAGCCAGAACACTTTCAGAACATTAGCTTCCGTCTCAAATTATGTTTCCAAACAGCTTTACTTAAACATAAACACACAGCAGTGTTCATTTGTGCATCAAAACACAGCGTTTGACTCTCGCAGATGGTAGAGAAAGCGTCCGTCAGTGAGTTTCACCGACAGCAGCACAAGCGCTTTATATAAACCCATCAGCAGAGGTCATGAGAGCTCAACTCCTCTCGCACACCAACACAGTGCACTTGTGTCAATTCACCCTCCCTCACTAGTGTGCTACTGCTTTAGACACTCAATTTGGTAATAATATTTCACAATATTGCCTATTACGATATTACCTCCGCTGTGTGCATTAAGGTCTTATCATTCTTGTAATGCATGTGTGTATGTTTGTGTGGGTGTATATTTTATTTATTGTGTTATTATTTTAGTATCATTAAGATACTATTATAGTTTTTATTAACATTTTGATTTAGTTTTTAAATTTTCAGTGTTAATTTTAATGTTAATGTTTTAGTAAATTTGTTGTGTTTTTGTCATTTTTCTTCTTACTATCTTTAAATGTGTGTGTGTGTGTGTATTTATTATTTATAATATTGTTTTAGGACCACTGAAATGCTATTATATTTATTTTTATATTTTAATAGTCTTCATTTTAATTTGAAAGTGTAGTATAAAACATTTGGGTTTGAATTCTGTTTATTTCCCATTCGCCACTGACAGAAATGTGTTCTAGTTTTAAGCATAAACTCACTTAATTTTGATATTTTCTTTTCAGAAAACAAGACTTAATATCTTAAGTCATTTTGTTTCTCAAGTAAATGCATCTTGATTTAAAAATCTTTGGACATTTTCACTGGAAAATACAGAGGAAGATCATCACTTAAATTCGTAAAGTCATGGCGTTAAATGTTGCATGAATTGCTAAAACTGATTTTTGTCTTGTTTTCCATTACAAATTTTTTAACATTGTTAAATCAAGATATATTTACTTGAGAAGCAAAATGAACGTATGACGTCTTGTTTTCTGAGAAACTGAATAAAATGAAATCAGTTTATGCTTAAAACATGAATGAAAACTTGTTTCCCTTTGAATTAAGTTGATTTTTCTGAGCCCATTGGCTGACCTATAAAGGTTTTAAATCAGAGCGGAAAGTCTTAAATCATAATCATGACATTAAATATTGCATGCTCTGCATAATGAATATTTTGATTTTTGTCTTGTTTTTTAATGCAAATATCTAAACATCCTTAAATCAAGATACAGTTACTTAAGATTCATAAACTCCTGTCATTTTTACCAATTGTTCATAAAACAAGACTTATGTCATTTTTCTTCTCAAGTAAATGCATCTTGATTTAAAAATCTGGACATTTTCACTGGAAAACAAGACAAAAATACAGAGGAAGATCTTCACTTAAATTCATAAAGTCATGGCGTTAAATGTTGCATGCATTGCTAAAACTGATTTTTGTCTTGTTTTCCATTACAAATTTCTTAACATCCTTAAATCAAGATATATTTACTTGAGATGCAAAATGAACGTATGACGTCTTGTTTTCTGAGAAACTGAACAAAATTAAATGAGTATATGTTTAAAATATGAACAAATGTCTGTCGATGGGGAATGAAAACTTGTTTTCCTTTGAATGAAGTTGATTTTTCTGAGCCCATTGGCTGATCTATAAAGGTCTTAAATCAGAGCGGAAAGTCTTAAATTCATAAAGTCAAGGCATTAAAATGTTGTATGCACTGCTAAAAAAATATTAATATTTTTCCTTAATTTAACATCCTTAAATCAAGATATATTGACTTACAAAAATGAATATATGAAGTCGTTGAACAAAATGAAATAAGTTTATGCTTAAAACATTGGGGAATGAAAACTTGTTTCGAACGTATGACGTCTTGTTTTCTGAGAAACTGAACAAAATTAAATGAGTATATGTTTAAAATATGAACAAATGTCTGTCGATGGGGAATGAAAACTTGTTTTCCTTTGAATGAAGTTGATTTTTCTGAGCCCATTGGCTGATCTATAAAGGTCTTAAATCAGAGCGGAAAGTCTTAAATTCATAAAGTCAAGGCATTAAAATGTTGTATGCACTGCTAAAAAAATATTAATATTTTTCCTTAATTTAACATCCTTAAATCAAGATATATTGACTTAAAAAAATGAATATATGAAGTCGTTGAACAAAATGAAATGTTTATGCTTAAAACATTGGGGAATGAAAACTTGTTTCCCTTTGAAATAAGTTGATTTTTCTGAGCTCGTTGGCAGATATTTGTTATTTTTTATTCATTACTAACGCCATTTTGATTTGTCATTCAATTTCACATAAAACAAGACGTATCTTTTGTAATTTAGCTTCTTAAGTAAATACATCTTGATCTAAGAATCTTTAGACATTTGCACTGGAAAACAAGACAATAAAATACTGTTATTTCTATATTCTAGTGGTTGGGAGCAGAGCTATTCAAGCACTAAGCTATTTTATTTTATTATTTTATTTATTTATTTTGTATTTATTTGTTTATTTATTGTTTGTAAAATTAATAATTAAAAAGTATTAGATATTGTAAAAGGAATTATTACTGTGAAGTGTTTCTAACTTGCTAATACAAGACATTGTGTTCCTTAAAGGGATAGTTCATCCAAAAATGAAAATCCTGTCATCATTTACTCACCCTCAAGTTGTTCCAAACCAAATTAATTTCTTTCTTCTGCTAAACACAAAGGAATATATTTTGAAGAATGTAGGTAACAAAAGAGTTGCTGGTAGCCATTGACTTTCATAGTATGGAAAAAGATACTATAGAAGTCAATGGGGTGAACGAGTAAATGGTGAGAGAATTTTCATTTTGGGGTGAACTGTCCCTTTAAAATGTCTTGACTTGGTCTTAAAAATAAACCTGGAGAAACCCTGCTATAAATCTGTAATTTTGTTTGTTTTATTGTCTTTTTTAGCCAACTCAGCAGACCACCCTGATCGGGCTGCTCAAGACGGCGCGTCTTCTGCGTCTGGTGCGAGTGGCACGTAAACTGGACCGTTACTCTGAGTACGGCGCGGCCGTCCTCTTTCTGCTGATGTGCACGTTCGCTCTGATCGCTCATTGGCTGGCCTGTATCTGGTTCGCCATCGGGAACGTGGAGCAGAACCGCTCCATCGGCTGGCTGCATGCGCTCGGCGTGGATCTGGGGAAACCACACAACAGCAGCATCAGGGGATCGGGACCCAGCATCAAGGACAAATACGTGACTGCTTTATACTTCACCTTCAGCAGCCTGACCAGCGTGGGCTTCGGGAACGTGTCGCCCAACACCAACTCCGAGAAGATCTTCTCCATCTGCGTCATGCTGATTGGATGTGAGTATGTTTCGCTGCTTAAGGGTCAGCCGTAAGTTAGGAGGTCCGAGATAATAGAATAATTTCTAAAAATCTAGATTGAAAAGCTCTTAGAAACACAATGATTGTATTCATGTACGTCCGTTTCGGAGAACCAGAGGACAAATATTTCAATCGATTGCTCAGGCATGGCACCGAAATGAGGCACCGAAATCTGCGTTCGGATTCGGTTCTAGTACATACCGGTTACATAGGTTCCGGTGCCATATTGGTACCGGGTTTCGGTACCCAACCCTATACATGTTTAATAATAATAATAATAAAAATGACAAAACACACAACACAGCACAATTACTAAATATTTCAAATTAAAACTACAATATACTGTATATACTTCTGTGAATATAATTTTTTTAATAATAATTTTTAGCATTTTGTCTTGCCTTTTTTCTATGTTATGATCTGAATCTGATGATAATGAAGTTTGTTCCAGACATTGAAAACATTCATCATAAAATAGGGACATTGTGTGTATAAACTGCATCTTTTTAATTTATTTTTAATTAACTTAATAGATCCGCAGAAAACAAGTCAAGCATAACTGAGCCATTAAAGCATGTCTGAGTGTTGACCTTCATCCTGAGTGTCTTGTAGTTCAGATTAAAGCTTCATTAGAGATGCGCGTGTTTGTTCTCTAAGCCGGTTTATAATAGAGCTCGTTTTATTGTGCACTTTATGATCAAACCTCATCACATGCTGATGAAACGTCCTCCCTTTTTAATTTTTGGCGAACAAATCAATCTGATAGCTCGTTTCCGTTTTTATGGCTGGTAGAAGCATTTATCATCAGTGCTGCAGAATTACATTTTGGAAAAGGGCGAAAGTTCAAAAGGAGAAGATCAACATGACCTCTTCGATCTGCTACAAGATTATTCATTACATTCAACAGCTGAAGTCAGCAGACTGTAGTGATCAAACTCAATATTCACCATTTAACAGCTGAATGACTGCAAAAAGCCTCATTTAACCATATTTTCTTCTATTTTTACTGCATGTAATGGCTTTGTTTCTGTTGTGTGTATGTGTTGTGTGTGTGTGCGTGCGTGCGTGCGTGCGTGCGTGCTAGAATGATTCTCAAAAGAATCTGCTCCAGCAGTTTTATTTTATTTTATCTTTTATTTTACATATTTGTAAAATAAAAGATGCATATTTTTTAAATTCATAAATTATCATTTCTGTATTTTGATTTTACATATTTTGTTTGTTTTAATTTCCAATGGTTTTCATTGTTTTAATACAGCAGTTCATACTGTATGACCAAGGCTGTAATACAGCGTTTTCTTTACTAAAACCATAAATTAAATGCAGTTTAACCACTATACAGTTTAAATAATTTTTATTTTTGTCTTACGATAATAAGAACTGGGTGGAAAAATAATTATTATTTTTTATTTTTATTTAATATTTTTATTTTTTAAATTTAATTAATAATAATAATAATGTTTTTAATTATCATGAAAATCATGTCACAGTGTAATCAGATTTCTTATTTCTTATTTATTTTTTTTATATGGTGAAATATGACACCAGTTTGACAAGTTTTTTGAGATTATGATATATCACTCTTTCGTGAACAAACAGAAGAGGAGGAGATATTCTGTGTGTCACTATTACGACCTGTATTCATTTAATCCGTATCGGGTTCATGAGAATCAAACTCAGAGTTTCTACAGCCGTGCTCTAGCGTTTGAGCTTCACCAGCTCCTTCTTTCTTGCTATTTTTGCAGCTTTTGTAGTGTGATTCATAGTGCTGCCCACCTGCTCTGAGATCAGTCAGTAACACAAGCTCTGAATCCAGACGCTTTTATAGAGGCCATATAACGATGAATACAGGGAGAAATCGTCAGGGCTGTCATTTAGGGTCATACTGAAACACTTTCACTGAAGCTCTAGAGATTTATACACACTGGGAAGAAACATGTAGAACAATTTTCACTCACAATTAATTACAAAGACAGCAAGTAACAGTGAACTAAACATGAAACTTTGAAGTAGAAAGCAGGGTTATAGTTAACTTAAATGAAAACTGAAACAAAGTTTGAACCTTTAAAAAAAATGTTACTTGAAATAAATATCAACTGAAATAATAATAATAATACAAGTTTAATTTCAGCTAATTGCCAAAGCGTATTTAATTTACTTTAACTTCATGTATTAAAATAAATAAATAAAAATTAATAAAATACTACACATATATAGACATATAAAACAAAACAAAAACTACTAAAAGTGACAAAAAACAACAAGAATATTAAAATTAAACTAAAATTAAAATGGAAAATATAAAAATACAACAGATTAAAAATATTAATAGAAACTATAATAGTATCTAAATGATCAAATAACACTAGTAGAAAAACTGAAATAGTGTTTTCTTGTAAAACATGTTTCAGAATATTTATTTATTTATTTATTTATTGAAGCATAGAAACAATTATTACTCAAAAATTGCTAGTCAATTTCACAATTAATTACAAAGAAATAGCAAATAACACTGAATTAAACATGAAATTTTTAAGTATAAAAACTGAATTTTTCATGTAAAACAAATT